GTTTCTGAGAGGTGAACTAGGGTAGGGCAAGCTGACAGTCAATCCTCCCATACAGGAGTAATCAATGCTGGTCAGGGTTCCTTCGGCCAGATGGAAGGAAGCGTGAGCATGTACTATGATGTATTCAATGTTGACTTGCTTGGGGAATAGGAGCTGGACTGACGCTCCCAAGAATGGATATGGAGCCAGGACCATAAGGACCTGTTTTATTAAAAAATAAATAAAAAAGGAAAAAAAAAGGAAATGCCCAGACAAAGAACACGAGATGAGGGAGAAATATCAGACAACGGTTCTGTTCTCAGGCAAGATTGGGGTTTGCGAGAGGGGACGAGCATTAAGTTCAATCTGACAAGGGGGACTACGGACAGGCAATCCACAGCGACACTACAGGAAGCGCTCTTGATGCGGATGGCTTTGGGTAACTCAGGCCTCAATTTGGTGCCTTTGTAAGGAGGAGGAGGACACTCTTTAGCATCGGGCCCAAAGCGAGCAGAGGCGAAGACGTGAGTGCAGAAACATTTCAGCAGCTGAGGCAGACCGCGTGGTTTGCAATGGTAGACAGAGAGGACTTCCCAGGATAGATCTTCAAAAGGAAAAAGTACCCATAGAGAGGGCCATGGTGTGAAGGAATGGGCTTGCTGGCAGTCAATTGAAAGGCATTCCATGATGCAGACCCCAAATTTGAATTCAGGGTCAAGGTCTCAGGCCAAGGGAGGCCAAGTCGGCCAGCTTAGGAAGGTCACAGTCGGGTACCTTAGGAGTCAAGTCCAACAGGCACCCAGTGAGCAGTCACATCCCAGAGGCAAAGGTTGCATTCTACAAGCAAAAGTCACGTCCCATGTTGAGAAGTCATATCCCACAGGCAAAGGACACTTCCCCAGGCAAAAGTCGTGTTGCAGAGGCAAGAGTCACCTCCCACAGTCAAAAGTCATGTTCCACAGGTGGAAAGTCGTGACTCACAGGCCCAAGCAGCAGCACACCAAGGAAAATTCGGGAAAGTACCAGGCCTTGACATTCTGAAGCAAACAGGTCGTGGGCATGTAGTACCAGGTCCAAGTCAAGCCGAAGAAGCGGAGGCTGGGACAAGTTGAAGCTCAGTCCAAGGCAATATAAGGACTGGCCAGCCACATTTCCGACAGATTAAATTTTTTTATTTATTTATTTTTTTAACCATAATCAAGCAAGTTGAAGTAATCGCATAAAAAAGAAAAAAAGTGGGTTCATCGAGCGTGTACTTCTTGAGTTCAAGGCTTGATGGTAAGTCAACGAGGATGACATGCCACATCCAAATCCCGATCCCGGTGCCAGTTCTTTCTTGGAGTCTCTGTCCATGGGCAGGAAGCTTGTTTAAACCCGATCCCGGTTTCATATCCGCCCTGAAAGTGCGTACTCAGCACGCGCCACCAAGTCCGTCAAGTACAACCGTCCTCCACCTGTTTGCTAGCGAACCTTACTTCGCTTTTGGACAGATTGCTCATTCGTGAGAAGTGTGGAAGTGCTGCTGAAGCGCTTGTGCTCTATCTGCGAGTAGCATGCGCGTGAGAGCCCTGCTGGGCAGCACTGCACTGAGAGGGAAGGCGGCCATAACCGCATCGCTAGTGATAGGAGGTAGAGCTGAGTAACAGCGGATGTATTCACAGTCAAGATTCTCAAGTAGGGAGAGAGAGAGAGAGAGAGAGAGAGAGAGAGAGAGAGAGAGAGAGAGAGAGAGAGAGAGAGAGAGAGAGAGAGAGAGAGCCGGGGAGAGAAGAGAGTCACCTACCTTAGATGAGGATGCTGGTATTGGGTTGCTGAGTTCTGCGTTGTTGGGCGCTTGGTGACTGGACCTCCGAAACTGTTTAATGTGATAATTTGTTGGAATTTCTAAGCTGCGCATACCTGGACTTTGCATCTCTGGACTCCAGTGTGGATTTCGTGTGATCTCTCAATGTGTGTGTGTGTGCTCATGGTGTCGAGCAGCGAGGACTTTCAAAAGAAAAAAAGAAAGGACAACAAGAAGTTTTGTGCCAATCAATCACAGCATAAAAATAAAAATAAAAAAAACGATCACAGCATCAACAAAGGTGTCCTAGTCTTTTTACAGCCTCAGAGATCACCTGGACGTAGACTTGGCCATTTTCAGTCTAGACTCTAGAGGTAGCCATTTTGGGTCTAACACCCACACTGCCCTCACATTTTACTGCAAAGTAATTGAAGTTCACACAGCCTCATAGATCACCTTGTCTTCGCCGGTGCCAGTTTAGATCTGGCTATTTTCAGTTAGCCATTTTCAGTCTACTGTCCTTACCCGAATACAACGTACAGTCATTATAGCTGTATTTGGGGTATCTTTCAGTCTAAATACACCAATAATGACCGTACGTCAGGGTTGCATACCCGCGGACCGCCGACCGTTTTCCAGCCTACCAGTAGGGCCGACTGGTCGGCGGTCTGCCGACCAGTCTGTAGAGGGCCATCCACTGATATTTTTTCAAATCTGAGTTCAGGTCTGTACTGCACTTGCTGAGTACAGCCCAAATCCGCCGAGAACCTTTTGGGGATGGGGGGGGAGAATG